TTTATCTGTGTTTTATTTGGTACATATTGCTAATGCAGTTATTATTAAATGTTTAGGAATTTATCATATAGTATCGCACATCGCGGTCTTATATGTTATACTTCATAGGTGCAATTGACGACACAACTTTGATGCACGTCCATGTGTTCATACGATAATCAGTAATCAGTGTATACGATTGTATGTACTGTATAGTTGTGCATCGAATCTTTCTTGTGCAATCATTTTAAAACGTAATTTGAAAGTTCAACCATCTGTTTGGTACTTCCAATGTAATTCAAAATGTGATTAGACGGAAATAACAATTCCCTGTTAGCAAAATATATGCAGATCGGCATCAGACTAGCTGTAGGCGTCGACACAGATCCGCCTGCACATCAGCCTCCACCTCGGAAGCAGTGTCTGGCCACCTAAGCAAACCGGAAGCAGCCAGGCTGCATGACCTTGTCGCAGAATCCGCTGCCAATCCACGTCAAGACTGAACCAGAAGCAGACGGCCAGGAATCCGACAACAGACACGCATCATCGCCCGCCGCCAATCTGATGTCGATCTGCGTATATATTTTTTATAGAGCAGATCCTGCTTGAAGCAATGGACAAAATCTGACACCGCAGGCTAACAGGGAATCTCTATCATATTCGTCAAGAAGGGAAATATTTGAAAAGATAGATTTCCATTTCTCGAATCTTTATTAAAAAAGAAACAAAATGTTCAATCAGAACACTACAAATGTAGGAATCAATATTTCTGTTGCTACAATTTATCTCAGTTGTTTGTCTTAATCAGACGTTTGGTCCGTAACAATAGACAGATGTTTAATAATATACAATCCTAGTAGATATAGTCGCTTATCATTGTAATGTGCTGATAAAAAATGTTTATATGTACATAGTATAACGATATCTAAGCATCATTATTCTGTTATTGTGAACGTTATGCGTTTTCTTTTTCTCTTTAAACGAGAAACACTATGACTACGTATGTATAAAAGTTATAGCCATAGTATTATTTTTTCCGAATTATTTACATTCAACGAGACATCAGTTTTTTTTATATAGTATAATATATAATCGCAATGTTAGCCTTTTTCCCGATATGGCTTAAAAAATATCGGAGTGTGCTACGAGCGTATTGTGATGTTTGCGAGCACAGTGAGTATGTACATACCTACATACCCATTTACGTGCCTAAGCGTAAGACGCCCAAGAACTGATCTTTCGTATTATGTTTGTATGTCCAATAATAATATGCGTAATACCATTTACGGTAAATTGATCGACGTTCAGATATTATAAACGGAAAAAAAAAATTGTTCAAAAGTAGTCTTATCGTGAAATTTACGTAAGATACGTATATACGCAAAAAAAGTTCTATTCACTGAACAGTGAGTCTTAACTGTCGATAAGATGATTACTTCTGGCACTTGTTACAGATAGATATATCCATCGTTGCAAATTTCTGCATAACAATTGCCAATTGTATCAATTCACTGTCTGAATGTTGTAACTATTTAAAGAATAAATTTATTCCATTGAAATTCACTCGATAATCTTTACTCATAGAAATCTGAATATATTGAAAAATAAAATGTACGTATTTACGAAAATATAAGTTTGTCTTTGTTCAATACAGAACTTCAAGCACCGTTCGGTTTCGTTAACTCTAATTTGAGCGTATTATTATAAGCAACAGTATTTTGATTTGGCATGACTGTTCATATTGCTCGTATATTTTCATATTGTCTCATCAAGTATACTACGAGTTATTACGATTAGAAAGGTCTACGTTGACAATTTGCAAGAACGGAGATATCTTATCGAATGTACTAAGCTCTACTGAAGTACCACCGACAAATATCTTTAAAATTGTGTTATTAGTACGATTAACAGTAACAATGGCAGCCTTTTTTAACGTTTCATTTGTAATTCCACAACATCCTGATAAATCTAATAACTCTAATTGAGGCGCGGATCCGATTAAATTTGTCATTACTTTATCTGTAAATTTGCAAATGCGGCATTCCAATCTTTTCAAATTACACGCATCTCGCAAATTTGTGTCCGTTACTAATTGTAAATAATTCATAATTAATACTTCTAACTTCGGTAAACTCGATATAGCGGCCACGCCAACGTTCGTTACAAGAATACATTCTGCAACAAGTATGAAAGTTTTACATATGAATCTTACACGAGCTACGTATTTTAAGTCATGTTTAACTTACCAGTAATATCTACGTATTTGAGCTTCAGACATTTCGATGCTAAATTAATAAGTAGTTCGTCCGTAACTACAGCATTCGCATTGATTTTTAAAACTTCAAGATTAACTAGTTCAGCAATGTGTAGCATGTCACTCGATTGTAACAGAAACGAGATACTAGAAAGCTCTAGCGTTTTCAAAGTCGTACAATTTGCGCTAATAGCTTGTATAACGTTACCAGATATATCGAAACATTTAGATATTGTGAGAGATTTCAAGTTCTGCAACTTTTCAATCGCCTACAAAAGTATAAATTAGTTAAAATCAGGTAACCGTGGAACGTAGCATAATAAACCGAATCGAAATTCACATTTGGATTTACCTTCGACAAGGAACGTTCTTGGAGAGAACTACAACTTTCTAGTACAACTTCTTCCATCGTTTCTAATGGTACATAAAATAAGCATCGTCCAGATATTTTACCAAAAGCCAGTTTGAAATATCGTAACTTCTGATTTACTTTAAATAATCTTTGTAGATCCAAATCACAGATATGAGTAGTAGAACCGAGACTAAATTTTACAATATCGCGACAATTGTCCGTTAACGAATTGATACCGGATGTAGAAACAGTAAGACCAGTAACATCTATTCGTTGTAAATTGGGACACAGTTTGCCAACTATGGTCAGTGTGCTTGGATTCAATGGGGAAGACATTTGAGATAGATTTATTTCATTTAAATATGGACCGCATCGCAGTAACACTTTGCGGAGCGTACTTGTATTAATTTCTCTATGCTTCGAACCAGGTAAAGTGCCCCACATTGAAGACGATAAATCCAGTTTTTTTACACTGTGCCAAGATTCCTTACTCAATATTCTCCACCTTTTGCACACTGTAATCATTGAAAAATAATATAACTTACACAAATCAGGACTATAACTCGTGATGGAGTAATTTTTTGAATAGTGTATTTTCCATATTTATGCTCACCTCTTTCTATTCTAATTCTATCTACAATTGGCAACTGAAGGAAGATATGTATCAAACAGTCGTTATTTAATATTTGAATGCTAGTATGCATATCGTTTTGTAAGTATTCTTCATTATACTGTTCATTGCACGCTTTCTTATCTTTTGTGTTGTGATATCGATTCTCTATATTGTCTGGTTGATGCCATGAATCAGCTGGCACAACTTTCAAGTTTCTGTTGTGCAATCTTATGGTATCTTCTTCATATACAGCTCTAAGAATCATCGTCATGAATACCATAATCCTGTTACTTACAATTTCACCTTCATATTTGTTCGATTTCAAGTTACCTTACGACTGCCTCTGCGCTGTTAAAAGTAACAAATGCATAGTTACTTTTTCCTTGATTCCTTCGCAAAAAACAGCTTTCTACATTTCCATACTTAGAAAATAACTTTTCGAGATCCTTGTACGTTGTCTGAAAAAGTATATTTCTATACAGGGGAACATACTCGTTAAATTATATGATTACAAATCCAATGGTACGTATACAAACCCTTTCTGCTAAGTTGCTAATGAACAATTTCCTAATTGGCACACCGTCTTCCGTGACAGGCAAAAAATCACAACAAAGTGCATCTATAACAAATAAATTCCTTAATATGTGAAACACATAAACAAATTGACGAGATGATACAATTAACCAAGCTATATTACCATTATCCTCGAGAATGTGACTATGTTGTAAATTATTAGAAAGACATTGTATATAATCAGTCATTGTTATAGATTTTCGATTTATAATCTCCTCGATCCTATGTTCCCCGTTAGAATTTCCGTTCATTTTTCAGAACTCGATGTCATGATTGAAGAATGAAAGTAAGCTGTGTGCTTGTTCATGTGAATTCGCTGCATTTACTAGTGGTAGTAAATTTACACACATCGTATATGTATGTATACGTCTGTCATGTGTCGCTGATTCAAGATTGAATCCTACACTATAGATCAGTATTCGACTTAAAATAAACATGAAAGTAAGCGTATGTTATTCTGTTGGATCCGAAAATAAAATTGGAACTCTCTTTATTTTAATTTAAATATATTTGCAACTTCAATGGTTTGAACATTTACACGAATAGGGAGATCAGGATTTAGAATGGTTTTAATTACTTACTCATTTAAGATTTCATAAAATGTTTGTATTAATGCTTCAGATTTTACCATAAAATTATCTGATACATATTTACAATGATTGTACATAACTATATAATAAGAAAATAAATTTAAATTAAGAGAGAGCTCGGATGGAACGGAAATATCCGTTTGTAACGCGAATCTTTATTAATTATATGTAAAAAGGGCGATGCATCTTTGAATGTTTCAAGATCCACTGCTGTTCCACCGACGAATAAATTTAGAGTAATATTATTAACTCTGCAAGCAGTAGCTGCTGCCGCTCTTCTTAATGTAGCATTTGTTATGTTACGACATCCAGACAAGTCTAACACTTCCATTTGATAAGAGTACTGAATAAAATTTGATATTGTTATATCAAAGAAACAGCATTCTTGACAAACTAATTGCTTCAAATTACACAGATGTAATAACCCGTTACTGGTTACTTGATATAGATCGCGTGTTATCAATATCTCCAGTTTTGTGAATTTTTCTATAGCTGCCAGAGTGTAATCTCGGATAAAATGCCCTGGAATATCTAGAAATAATATAATTTGGAGAATATCTATGATATCAATCGTACTTGTTTAATTATAAAGTACGATTAAACTTACCGCTAAGGTCTAGATAAATAAGTTGCTGGCAGTATAGACTTAATTTGTGAAGAATTGAGTTACATATGAACCAATTCACGCTCGCTTTTAAGCTTTCGAGATCAACTAATGAAGATATACATGATATACCATTGAATTGTAATATACTTGATTTACCAGTGATTTCTAATGTTTTTAAACGTTTGCAATATTTTCCAACAGCTTCTGTAGTTTTTTCCCAAGTGTCGAAACTATCTGTTATTATAAGACACTTCAAATTAATTAATCTCGCAACTGCCTAAATGTAAAACATTAGAATTAGAATACATAAAATGAGACGTTTTATAAAATAAATTTAGAGATTCCCGAACTTACTTCTACAACGTCACCGTCTCGTACATAATCACATCTTTCGATAATTAATTCTTCTATCGCGTCTGATGGCAAATATAACAAGCATTTACCAGAAATCTTAACGTCAATTAATTTAAGATATTGTAACTTTTGATTTGCTTTAAATAGCTTATCCAAATCTGTGTCAAAAAGGCATATACAGTCTAAACTCAGTTTCTTTATATTATGGCAGTTATTTATTAATGATGTTATTCCCACTGAAGGTACCTGGAGGCAACTGACATCAATAGTTTCTATGTTAGGGCATAAGTCACCAATTACAGCCAATGCACTTTCTCTACCTTCACAAAATGTTTTATCTAAATATATTTCGTTTAAAAATCTGCCACATCTTGATAATACTTTATGAAGGATAAGCGTATTGATTTGTTTTACTTTAATGTCAGATGAAAATCCCCAGACAGAATTTGTTAAATCTAATTTCTTTAGATTATACCAAGATTTTTGGCTTATTCTCAGCCACTTCTTACACACTAAAACATATTAAATATAAAAATTCTTAGTATAGATAAGTTAATAATTATTATGTCTCCTACATTTGTAATACATACCTCTTTCAATTCTAATCCTATCAATAATTGGTAAATGCAAAAAAATGAGCATCAGGCAGTCATTGTTCAATTTATAAATATTTGCAATTCCAACAGATTGGTGCAAGTCTTCTTCATAATAATAATCATTCGTTGATCCATTATCTTTGCATTCTTTTTTAAATATATTGGAACTAATTTCCTTGGTCATACTGTACGCATTTATGTTTTTCATAGATTGACATCATCTCATGATCTATTATTTTTTATACATTTACAATCCAATTTCACATGTCAATTTCTTCTTGTTATTGAATAAATATAAGTGAAAGTTACTTCCATTCTTATGGTTACGTGGAACATTTGGTCAAGATTTATATATAAAGTAGTCTATAAACTAATAATCTAAAAATCTTCTTTCAATGAACCTTCTTTACATTATGATCCAGTCCAATTTGAAACATTTTTCGGCGATTCAGTATACATATGTACTTATGATGAAGTAACACAGAGGAGAACAAACGTGAAGAAACTCCGTTTTATCTAGTTTTATCAAAGGTGAACCGAATTTTCCGTAAACAATCACCAAGCTCTTAAGCTCTGCAGGTCCTGCAGGCTCACCCTGGCTCCCCTCGCTCCCCTCGCTCCCCTGGATCGCTGGCTGGTTAGGGGTGAGGATACACGATAATGGCAAAAAAGACCAGCTGGCGTATGATATAGTGTTAGTGCGATGATTATATCTAACCTTAATTACAAGCACGATTACATTCAAAACAAATGGAACTGGAAACTGTACTCCGAAAATGTGTAACAGCAAATAAACGTAAATATTAATGGCAATTATTGAAACATTTTCAAATTCATTATATTACTATTATTATTATATACTTGCAACAATTTATGTTTGTATAGAAGTAAAACCAGAAGAAAATGAAAAGAACGAGGATGAATATTTTCAAAAGATTTATGGACAATGGAAGGGCGCCAAAGCTAAAGACAAAGATTCAACTTATAAAGTGATTCCTAAATTTTATTTTAAGGTAAGGTATTTGCAAATAGACAGTAACGTGAAAAGTGTGAGAAAAAAAAGAATTAACATGTTGCTCTGTTTGTTGCAGTTACCGAAAGAAGATGAAATTTTACCACAAAAATTGCGGGAAGAGACACGGGCTTTATTTTTACAAAGACGCTCGCGACAGTTATTAGATAATAACGAACTAAAAGCCTTATGGGTGTTGTTAGATAAACACCATAGTCCTCCTTTGTCAGGAGAGGAGCAATTAATTAATTATGAAGACTTCAAAAAAGTAGGAAAACTGGCAGGAACAAAATGCAGTCAGTATTTTACTGCAGTCGTTTTTGCCAAACTGCAACAGGGTGATCCTCACGGTAGGATCAGTATAATGGCCCTGTTTAATTACGTTATGAGAAAAGTTTGGTTGCATCAAACAAGAATTGGTCTTTCCCTGTACGATGTTACTGGCCAGGGATATCTTAGAGAATCAGTAAATACCTTTAATCTATCTCAATTGCATTATTGAAGAAATTTCAATTATAACGATTCACATTGTTCTTTCTATGTTACAGGACTTGGAGAATTACATTTTGGAACTGATACCAACTTTACCTCAGCTTGAAGGACTTGAGAAGTCGTTTCATTCATTTTACGTTTGTACAGCAGTAAGGAAATTCTTGTTTTTCCTTGATCCTCTCAGAACTGGTAGAGTTAGAATACAGGATATTCTGGCGTGCAGCTTTCTTGACGATCTCTTAGAACTGAGAGATGAAGATTTGCCAAAAGACTTGCAGGAAGCGAACTGGTTTTCAGCTCCATCAGCTCTTAAAGTTTATGGACAATACTTGAACCTCGATAGAGATCACAATGGGATGCTAAATAAAGAAGAGCTGGCAGGGTAATTTAGACATGGGTTGTGATACGATTCTTAGAATTCATAAACCTATTGATTTGTTAAAGTCTTTCTCTAACATAGGTATGGGACAGGTACGTTGACTGGAGTATTTTTGGAAAGAGTATTCCAAGAATGTTTAACATACGAGGGAGAAATGGATTACAAGACTTATCTGGATTTTGTCTTAGCATTAGAAAATCGTCACGAACCACAAAGCTTACATTATTTATTCAGAATTCTCGATATTAACAATCGTGGTTACTTAGATACTTTCTGCCTTAATTACTTTTTCCGGGTATGTATATTTTCTTTTCGCACGGTTTATGTTTTATAATAAAATTGTCGAATGAGTCAATGTGCTTCGCAGGCTATACAGGAACAGATGACTATGCACGGTCAAGAGCCAGTCAGTTTTGAGGATGTTAAAGACGAGATATTTGATATGGTAAAACCAGTAGATTCATGTAAAATTACGTTACAGGATTTACTTTCTTGGTAAATGAATCATTAATAATTTTATTACGCTCACGGTTATATTTTTTTAGCAAATTACCATAGATTTCTATTCTGTGATTTACGTTTTAGTGGTCAGGGTGATACGATGGTCAGTATTTTAATAGAATTTCACGGTTTCTGGGCATATGAAAATCGTGAAGCCATGGCTGCAGATACGGGCGATGAATCATCTCACGTCTGAATAATAGAGATTCATAAAATGTGACATTCCTGACTGAACAGATTAGATATTAACAGTTCGGGATAACAGACAAAATGCCGTTTTCATACCGTTGTGATATAAATGTTGAAAGATCATAAAATTGACCTATGAAGGAATTCCTAAATATGTTACATTTAATTGTTTAATATAATTTTCCAATAAAGACTTTTTATAAATTGTTTTTCCTTGTTCTTTCCCAAAGTATTTAATGACGAGCATACAAATAGGAAAGTAATTTATATATTCTTCTGTAACTGTGGTTGAGAATTTTTTCTTTTTGCATATATGTATTCAAAGTAGTCGGACATGATTAGTAATTATAGCTCTGATGGTTAATAAAAACTTACGATCTTCCTTAGGCCATACGATTAAATTGTTTCTCTATTTACTATATGTATTTTCGCCATTGTTCAATATAGCACATCTAATGTTATGAATGTGTTAACTGAGATTGTTTTTCCAAGCTGTTTGAAACTTACCATTTTTTTATGTTTTTTGGCACTCAGACTTATCACGGCAAAACATTTCTCGTTCGACGACCAATGAAAACGTAGCATTTCAAATTCTCCTATGCAAACGTACTTTGCCCCACCGCGGAGAAAGGTTTGTTGCCGTTTACAGATCTGCAGTTACCGCCAGTTGCTCCAATCTCTTCCAACTGATGTCAGAGCCGAGTGCTTCGGTTGGTGTTTTAACGGCGCTTCGCTATCATGTTTGAATCGTAGAAAACGTTGTTTTTCTCGCGTAACGTAAATACACCATCCTGTTTCTTATAGCAATCTGTCGTTTATATCTTGCTTTACATTATCATCGAGTGTGTAAAATTTCGTGAAGCGTAGCTCGTGTTGATATTTTAAAAATAATTAGAAAGCGTCGGTTGGAGATTAGGACAGATCCTTTTACCATACAATGGACCCCTTCACTCAGGTAAGGCCCTTTCGTTCGTTCGCAATGTGCACATATAGCGAAAACACGTTTTCTAAATTTGAAGGAAAATGTTAAACTGAACGTTCAGTTTTAACAAAACTTTCCCCGATAAAATTTATATTAGCATCTGTTTTTGATTCTCATTTCAGTATTTTTTATGTTAGTATCCTATTTTTTTCTCTGTAGCTTTTTATGTACATTGTAACAATTGGATTTTCTTCAATTAAATAGCGAATGTTAGAACGTGCCAGAGCAAGGAGAGAAAAATTAGATACGCAATTATCAAATGCAGGGCATGATGTCAAAAAGAGGCGTAGTCCTTTGAAGGATGCAAATGCTATTTTAGCTCAAGCCATAGGTATTACTGTTTAATTCAAATATTTTATTTC